ACAGCACTTACCTCCTCGTCCCGTTCCCCCCCCGCGCCTGCTCTAGGATATTAGCGCCGCTGCTTCGGGAGTCCCTCGTTGAGATGCGTGATTGTCCGATGCTTGTTTTCATCCTCGCGGTTCTCAGCAGTTCAGTGGCCCCTCACGTTTCCTACGTTTCTTCTATGCGACGTGTGCTGTCCTCCCGCCTCCCCTGCTCTCTCGCCCTGCTCGTCCTGCAGGCTCGGAAATGCCCGCGGGGGCGCAACTGTGCCTTCGCCCTAGCGTCCTGACATCACCGGCTCAAGGAGGAGCAGGATGATTGTCGGCTACGCGTCAAGGTGACCTTTCGCCGGAGTGACTTTTGGTGCGGGCACACTGGGTGGGGTCCCAAGATGGTTGCCAGGGATGCGATAACAGCGGCTTGCGCGCTCGGGTTGGCCCCCCCGCGCCGAACCCCAGAGCCGCGCACCAGAGGTCATTCTTGCTTAGGGTCACTCGTGCGTGCAGCCGAGATTGGAGGACAGTCGGAAGGTTTCCAGACGAGGAGGCGGACGAGGGGCCCGAAGTATTCTGAAAGTAGAGGAGGCTGGGGGAAGGTGGTAGGCGGAGTGAGGGAGGAAACTGAGGGAGGATGAGGTGGTTTTCGGGTATGTTTACATGTTGTCCGATGTCTTGGGGTAACTACCGTAAGGGCTTCGCCCTCTGTCGCCGGCCCTCTCTCTATCATGAAGCATCAAGGGCATGCAGGATTTATGTTGGGATTCGTGGGCGCCGTCGTGAAGCAATATCGAGACCTCGTGCGAGGACGGATGATAATATTCAAAGCAAACTGAGATCTTGATGATATTGTTGAGCTATGTTTTTTACAGACGCGCCCAGGAAACTCAGACCAGAAACTCAACAACAACAACAGCGCCCGCAACTGATGTCCGGATTAAACAGCCGCGTGCGCCCCACCTCGGCCTCGACAGGGGTGGCACGATTTGATTTGGCCCCGGAACATTGCGGTCAAGGTGGCCCCGCGCCGCGCTTTCCATTACCACGTCTCATTCGGCGCGCGTGGCGCAGGGACGGCGGCACAGCGGTATGAGCTGTCGGCAGCGGCGTTCTCTTGGGTCTGCGAGCGGCAGCGGACATCGCGTCGCCCCCGCGGGGGCCAGACAAGCTGGACAGTCTCAGGCCTGGGCGAGAGCCGGCCGTGCGTGTGGCCGCATGTCTCAGGCCCCCGGAGACCAGGACACAGACGAACCAGGACACGGAAAACCAAGGAAACGACATCCTTTCTTGCAAGCTCACGTTTTTCAGCACCCGTGCATGTTTTGCTTGCTGCACTGCAGGATTCGGGTTTGTGTCGGGGTTTAGTGGGGTCTTGCAGGCTTTTGAGGCCTGTTTCCAGGTTTATTCTGGAAATGTTGCAGTGCAGTATTTCGTTCGTGCCGCCGTTTGGAAAATTTGGTTTCGAGGGATGTTGGGTGTCCGGGTCTAGCGTGTCCGGGTCTACGGGGCCCTGAATGTCTTCCCAGCGTTCTGCCTCGCAGGTGCGCCAGTCGTCCGCGCGTGCATCCAGCGCTTGGTTTCCTCACGCCAGGAAGGTGAATCCAGCCTGGTGCGTTTCCAGCTCCATGGTTCATTCTGCGCACCTCTCACACATGGAATCCCTTCTTGGGGCTCCCACACATAGAATTCCTATTTGGCCCCCACACGCATAGTATCTCTTCCTGGCCCACCCGCAAATCGAATCCCGATTTCGGCCCCTCACAAGTCGAAACTCTTCTTTGGGCTCCCACGAATAAAAATTTGATATACCTGGGCAATTCTGGCGAATCCTGTTGAATTCTAGTTCGGGCTGGTGAGTTGTAGATATTTCTGGTTAGTTGTTCTGGTTCAGTCTGGTCATTCTTGGGGTAACATTTCTTCTGGTTCATGATGGTGAATGTTGGTTGTGGTGAGTTCTGGCTTATTGTGATTAGGTCTGGTTAGGTCTGGTTGATTCTGCTTAGTTCGGGTTGGTTCTGGCTGTGGTTCAGTTTGGTAAATGTTGTTTTCCCTTGGATTACTCCAGCTATGTCTTGTTTGTGATGGTCAATCGTGGTTAGCGTTTTGTATTTCTAATGAATTCTGGTTACTTCGCCTGGACAGGGTGATAATGGTTAATGCTGATGTATTAGGGTTGGTGCTGTTCCATTCTGGTTAATTATGGCAGGGTTTGTTTAATTATGATTGTGCGCGATACACGTGTGGGAATCACGTGATGATGATGATGGACATGATGATGATAGTGTTAATTGATTGATTGATTTTATTGATGGGTTGGTGACGACGACGACGGCGAGGATGTCGGTGATGACGATGATGATGATGATGCTGATGCTGATGGTGATATTGATAGTGATGGTGATGTTCATGACGATGCTGATGCTGTTGCTGATGAGTATGATGCTGATGATAATGGTGATAGTGATGATGAATATGATGAAGAAGATGATGATGATGATGATGATGATGATGATGATGATGATGATGATGATGATGATGATGATGATGATGACTGTGATGCTGCTGATTACGATGTTGATGGTGTTGATAATGATAGTGATGATTCAGATGTCGGTTGTGATGGTGATGGTGATGATTTTGCTGATTGTGATGCTTATCATGATGCTGACGACGATGATGATGGTGATAGGGATGATGTTGATGCTGATGATGCTGCTGACGATGACGATGCTGATGATGGTGATGATGATGCTGCTGCTGCTGATGATGATGGTGCTGCGGTTGATGATATTTTGATGCTGATGCTGATGCTGATGATGCTGCTGCTGCTGCTGCTGTTGTTGATGATGATGATGATGATGATGATGCTCATGGTGATAATAATGCGGCGCAGGCGGAGGATAGGAGGTGGAGGTGGAGGAGGGGGACGGGGACGGGAACGGTGACGATGACGGTCGTAATATGGAATATTCATTGATGGACCAGGGCGAGATTGATCGATATGCGTTTCATCGATATGATCGGGAGGGGATTGCCAAGGCCTTTGCGCACTCGCGGCAGGAGCTTCTGGCCTTGCTGGAAAGGGTCACTTGATTGGGTTAGGGGAAGGAAGCGTACGTAGAATGAGACGGGGAAGGGATAGGAAGAACGAGAAGAAGTTCCGCAAAGGAGGACATCCAAACTTGCAGAATTGTTGTATCGAATTTGTCTATGCGTCATAACGGAGAGCGAGGGTGTGATACGTTCTCTTCGAGTGGGATGGGTTGGAGGCCGTTTCGAACAGTTGCTTGAGTTGTCATTGCCCCGTGAGATTTTGACATATTGGCACTTGGCTCCCGTGTGCTAGCAACCCGTGAGATCCGCCCAGCAAGATGTTGACGCTTCAGCCCGTCTTTACCGCGCGTTTTCGCGCGTAATGAGTGCGTGCGAACTAGCAGATTGACTAAGAACCTGCCCAGACCCAGACCCCCCTCTCCCCCACCCTCTGGCCAAATGTCGAAACCCAGAATAGAAAAAGCGCCTACCTGATCATCCGAAGTCCACGCGGCTCCACAGCAGTGCGGGCTCAGCCGACAGTCATCGCTGCGGGTACGTAGGCTCGGAGGCTGCCGTTGGTGGGTTGCTGCACAGGGGTGCTGGCTGAATGAGCCAACAGTCGCAGACATTCAGCTTCGCATGCCGCATCTCTCCAGTCTCATATGCAGGCGATTTTCAGCGCTTGCCTACTTGCGCCAACTTCATCTTTTCGCTGGCATCGGGCCGCTAAACACAAGCGCTGGGGGAGAAACACGGCGAGTCAACATCATAACAATTCGATTGCCTCCCCCGTCCTCGTCCGCCTTCTCCCCCTCCCTCCCTCCCCGTTCTCCCGCCACCCTTGGGAGTGCCTCACGATCTTGTCTGGTACCAAGATGCCCAGCGATTCCGTAGCTTAGCGTGCTTGTCTTCCAGCTGACATAAGCATGGTACGGCCAAATTCCTTTGTCCTGCCACACGCGGCATGGGGCACATTGTAATGACATCAGACTTTTACATCTACTGTGAGTTTGGCGGGTCGCATTCTTTGACAATTGTCCCACAAATGTGACGCCAGTGTTTTCGAAACACGTCTTCTCGGACAGGCCGCGATCGATAGGACCGCTTGCTGGAGCGGCTTGATCCGAAAGCACACTGCTTCACTGGGACCTATCGTTTCCCCCACTCCAGACCTATCACGAGTTAGGGATTGGGCGGCTGTGAATCCCCAGCTCACGTGGGTCCTCCGATTTACCGGCTTCACGCTTCAAGCCGTACGAAGATGATGTTGAATGATCGATGTTGTTGTGGTCGATGACCGCCATTTGTTTGCGCATGTCGAGGCCAGTCCGAACAGGGGCGGTTATGTTGCACTTGCATCTGCGCCCTTGCCTCACTCCGACTACTGCCCGTGGCCGCAGCCATTACCTCTGTGCTTCCCCTTTCCTCTTTCTGGGACCTGCCTCCTCGAAGGCAGGCCAATTCATCTTTCTCCACTGCTTCTCCTCCTCCTCCTGCTTCCCGTCCCCCTCCTCCTCCTCCTTGTCCCCCTCCTCCCCCTCCCCCTCCTCCCCCTCCCCCTCCTCCTTCCCCCCCCCCTCCTCCCCCTCCCCTCCCCCTCCCCCTCCTCCTCCTCCCCTCCTCCTCCTCCTCCTCCTCCTCTCCTCCTCCTCCTCCTCCTCCTCCTCCTCCTCCTCCTCCTCCTCCTCCTCTTCCTCATCCCTTTACATTGCTTCATCCCCCCTGCTTTGTGGTCCACGACCCATCTCCGCGAGTCTGGGCGCAAACGCCCAGTCTGAAACAGGGGACCCCTCAGGGAACCCCTTCCTTGCGGGCCCGAGAGGACCCGTGCTCTGTGCTGGGATGCCTGCCAGGCCCTGGCGGCCCACGGGCACGAGATGACCAGAAGCGTGCCTGCGGCGTCTCGCGCTGGGCTCTGCGACCCCGCTGCGGGCGGATGGGGGGGGGCACCCGCGGGCGGCCCCTTGGGCGCCGAGGAGCTCCGCATGCCGGCCTTCACCGAGGAGGAGGAGAGGAACCCCACCGAGGAGCTTCAGATTCGGGCTAACCGGTCGGTCCTTTGGGCAAAGGGGGGGTGTCAAACAAGGGGCTCGTTTGTGCAATCGTTCGTGCTGGATCATGCTGGATGAGGGCAGAATGCGCTGCAATTGGCACTGTTGGTCCGTGAACGAGGCCACGCGCCATTACTTAGCCAAAGGATGAAGTATTTGTTGTCATTTCGCGACCCCATTACGAAAGACCCCTTTTGCCTAAACCTCCGCCGATGAGCTGCCAGCTGGTAGTTGGGGAAGCGTACGACTCGAGTTCGCCGGGGCCTTGGGTTTGCTGGCGCTTTTTGACGGGCGTGGCCTAGATGCTGGGCACTTCGCCTAACCCCACCAGCCCGTCGAGACACGTTGCCTAGGCGAGTTACCCTGATTATGGATGTGGGGCAGCACGCAGTGAAAGAAAGGCTGGGACGCCCTCATACCCCAAGAGGGGGAGGATAGAGGAGGAACCAGAGAAGGAAGAGGAGGAGGAGGAGGAAGAGGAGGAGGAGAAGAATGAGGAGGAGGAGGGGGAGGATGAGGAGGAGGAGGCGAGGAGGCGGAGGAGGAGCAGGAGGAGGAGGAGGAGGAGGCGGAGGCGGAGGAGGAGAGGAGGAGGAGGCGGAGGAGGCGGGCGGAGGCGGAGGCGGAGGGCGGAGGCGGAGGGAGGCGGGGCGGAGGCGGAGGCGGAGGGAGGCGGAGGCGGAGGCGGAGGCGGAGGCGGAGGCGAGCGGAGGCGGAGGCGGAGCGAAGGCGGAGGCGGAGGCGGAGGCGGAGGCGGGAGGCGGAGGCGGAGGAGGAGGGAGGAGGAGGGAGGAGAGGAGGAGGAGGAGGAGGGAGGAGGGAGGCGGAGGAGGAGGAGGAGGAGGAGGAGGAGGGCAGAGGCGGAGGGAGGAGGGGGAAGGGGGAGGGGGGGGAGGGGGAGGGGGAGGGGAGGGGAGGCGGAGGAGGAGAGGAGGAGGTTGATGAGGAGGAGCAAGAGGAGGATGAACAGGAGGGGGAGGGGGTGCGGGGGGGAGGAGAGGGAGGAGGGAGACTAGAGGAGTGAGGAGGAGGTTTTGGTGGATAGGGAGGAGGAAGAGGAGGGCGAACAGGAAGGCCAGAGGCCTCTTGGATGCTTCTCGGAGTCTCCTCGGATGTCTCTCGAGAGCTTCTCGTAGGCCACAATGGGTGTCTTGGGGGCCTCTTGGCGGCCCCGGGGGCCTCCTTCGGGCCTCTGGGGGGTCTCTTGGGAGCCTCTCGGGGCATCTTGCGGGAATATCGTAGCCTCCTGGGCGTCTTCTGGAGCCCTCTTGGGCTCTTGGGGCACTCTCGGGAGCCTCGGTGGCCATCTTGGGGCTATCTTGGAGGCGTTCGATCAAAGAAGGAGCATTCCTCGATTAGCCCCCCCCCCCAGGAGGCCTAAATGTGGCCAAAACCTTCAGTAGGATCAGTGATGTTGGCCTTATCGCCAATGCCAGAAAAAAAGATTGTGTGAGCGGATGCCCCCCCCGTCCAGACCAAGGGGTAAGGGGTAGGGGGAGGTGACAACCCCCTACTCGACTTTTAAGGTTGAGCCCAGATGGGTCGGGTATGTAGCGTAGCACACCTGATAAACGGCAATGAGTATAAAAACGATCGCTGGTACATGTAGCCTTTTCTAGCGTTATGGCTCGCGGCTCGCGGCAGGGAGGTTCATTCAGCTAGCTCGATAAGGAAGGAGTTCTTCATGTAGCAGGTCAAGTCCGTAGAGTTGCCACCGAAGTCGAACTGAATCACCGCTAGCATGGTCCAGGTGTCGATGTTCAGTCGCCGTAGTTGACGTCACTCATTCTTAGTAACTGATTCAGGAACCCATAACGTGCTCCAAAGTTGCCCAGAGCTTCTGGATGGAACGCTTTGATTTGGATTCAGTCGCATTCCAATCGACCCATTTATTCGATGTCACCCTCGGTGGATTCCAGCTTCCTCATGGCTTTGGTCGGGATCAGCACTGGATGCTCGTATGTCACGTAGCCAGTCTCCAGGAACTTCTGCATCATATCGTCGGCGTTGCAGTGTTAGGTGGGAATTGGCAACCATGTCTTTGGTGGCGCACCATAGGCTGCGGGGCACCTTGCCAATCAGCCTCTTCACGCGCAACGAAAGAATTATCAGTCTTTGCGACCTGTCTTGAGGTAGTTCATCCCAGTCCACAGCCCGCGCAGTCGGTCATCGTGTCGATGGGCATACGCAGCATACATCCAAGTCTGATTGGATGCGATCTTCCAGCGTCGTTTTCTCCAGGGAGCTCGTGCCATCATCCTCATGGCGATCAGCTCGCACTGCCTAAGACAACCATCTTGTGAAAGGCTTGGTGTGCGACGTACTATGTGAGATTTGCTTCGCGCGCTTGGCTGAATAAACAAATCTATGTTTCATCCACGAGATGCGGCTGCGTCGAGCTTTCCAGACTTGTGTAGATCATGCAGACTGTCAGGCATCTTGATGGCAATCTGGCCCTCGATGGCATAGGATGTGTTGCTGCTCGCGTGAGTGGCATTGTCAATGGCGACAGCGATACGGTGGTCAGATTTTCTTGAACATCGATCCCAGCTGTGAGAACTGACGAGCTCACCGAACTATCATGTTGGCCAGCTGCATGTGCGCGGTCGTCGCGCTGCTTACGTTTTGCTGCAGCACCACCGCATCGGCGAGAATGCCAACTCGGGCGCGACACAGAAACTGCACGGCTCCGACTGCTCCTCGAAGCGTTGTGATTTGCGCAGGCGTGCACTTCGCGTGGTCAGAGATGCACTTCGGGATCTCGACGAGTTTGATGGCGAGCGCCAGCTCCGTCTGATGCAGCTCGTAGCCTTCCTTGATCTTCTCATCGGCAGTCCGAGCGCGCTGCGTGGGCGGCGTCGCGAGCGTCAGGTCCCCGAACCTGTCTTAGCGGACGGTTTCTTGGAGTCCGTTGGCCCTGCAAAGCTGGCGTCGTCAGCGCGCGGGCTCGCTTCTCCCGAATCGTTGTTCTCAGCATCGTGCCAGATGTAGAAATGTTCATCGAACTGCGACGTTCGTGCTTCAGCTAGTCCGCTCTGTGCGGGGAAAGCGCGCATAGCTGTCACGGCAACGGCGCGCCGTTGATTCCACGCATTGACTGCAGGCGTTCCAGACCGTGTCCTCCAGAATCTGAAGAAGGTGCTCCAGAACATTTGGAATCTCGCCGGTGAAACCGAACGTTGTCGGGGACGGCGATGGTGACCTTGCATTTGATATCTGGCATCGGTGCCCTGGGTGCTCGGCGCGCCCCTTGCAGCTGCTCGAGGCCAACGCCATGAGGAACTGCACTTCCGATGTTCCAGTATTCGATGCCCCGGGCGGTTCGCGGCCTTGACCGCGCGCCATCTTCAGACGTGGGCGAGGCGCGACAGATGCCATTCACGCGGTGCGCCGCCATATCGAACTCGCACTCGCTAGGAAGGATGGCGGGGCCATATTTGTCGCCCTGGACTGGATGGAGACAAGCGTTTGATTACATGTGCGTCGACGCTCTGTTGGCGGCGCTGCGCCCTTCTAGGGTGCCCCCCGAAGATGCTCGCTCTGATTGGGCATATGTATGAGGCCATGCAGTTCTGCGTGTCCGACGGGGCTATAGCGTCTTCTGAGCAGGCAGAAGATGCCAGGTATATCACAAGGGTGTCCGTTGTCGCCTTTTCCTTTCGCCCTGCTTATGACAGTGGTTTTGCGAGGCGCCGTGACCAGCCTGAGCGAGGATGACAAATTAGACGCGGCTCCTGGGGACCGTTCGGCGCTCTTATACGCCGACGACGCGTTGCTCATCGGGAGAAGCCAACGAAGTTTACATTTTCTCTTGGACAGCGTCGCTCTGGCGGGGGCTCAAGCAGGGATGGCGTCACATTGGGGCAAGTTCCCAATGGTCAAGACCAACGGCAACGCGACTCTGAGGACGCCGGCTGGGCAGCTTATTCTGGAGCAGCAGAGCATGGCAGATTTGGGTGCCACTTTATTCCAGAATGGGCAAGTGGGAGCAGAACTAAAACAGGAACTCGGGGCAGCATGGGCCGAATTCTCCAAATGTGACCGGGCCAGGAATCCCGCGGCGTTGACCAAGCAGCGAACATTTTATCTTGTTCATGCGCTGGTGACGACGAAGATCGCGCACTCACTTAGCGGCGTGGCTTAATGAGGCCCGGAGGAGACGATTGGATGGATCTCAAGCCACATGCTTACAGTGAATCTCGCGCGCGCCCCCGGCTTTTGTTTCGCGACTTCCGGATGGCGAGGTATTGGAACAGGCCGGGCAGGTGCCGTGCAGCGCGCAATTTCTTCAACGACGTAATTCTTGTTGGCGGGGTTGGGCGCGCTCCAATGACGGACTTTCTGCGACGGATCGCTCTTCAGCCCGACAGCGTTCGTTCAGTCGTGGGTGCGCGCCGAAGGGGGCGAGGCAGGCCGAGGCGCGAATGGGCGAAATGCATGCGCAAGGCGTAGGTTGCTCATCTTGGGCCAGAGCGCAAGTGGCCGCTGCTCCTGCAGGGCCCCGCCGAATGGCGAACCATTGCGAAGAGCGCTGCGAGCGAATCTGAAGAAGGTGGCTATCTGTAGCAAATATGCACATGCATTGCTCGCGATGCCTGGTGCCTCGGTGGACTTCTTGTTTTCCTGTCTCGCCCGCGCGCTTAGGCGCATGGCTTAGCGCGGCGTTCCCCAGACGCAGCTGATGGGCAAACTTCCGGAGTGGATGAGCTTCGTGACCTTGAACGCTCCGTGGCTCACGAAAATGGCGAGCTTGGCCCGATCAGCCTTCGGGATGTTGGCTTCGAAGTGGACCGTCTCCAGCGTCGACAAGTTGTCGATTCTCGCATCAACGTGGTAGCGCGAACCATCTCTGACACCGACCCAAAGGCAGGTGTCCTTGCTCCGTGGGTCAGGAGCGTTTACGTCTGATGATGATGCCGTCCAGGCGCTGTGGGTCATTATGTACGTCTCGGCCGAGGGAACGAAGGCGGCCATGA